CTCCAGTCCTGCCACCCGCCACAGGAGCACCACTGGACTACCCGGTGTGACCACTCTCCACCCCCACCACCACCGACAGATGGGGTTGACGACCTCATTGACCAGACCAACTTCAGCGGGCTCGAGTAGGCTGTACTCGCTGCTCGTGTTGTGTTCGGAGTGCAAACTGGCTTTTGTTTGGTTTATTTTATTTTATTTTGGTTTATTTTCTTTTGGACGATGTACTATGGTTTAGCCTTGCCATAGCTCGACTGGTCCCATTCCAGTCTGTTTCACTCCGACTGGTCCACCTTTCAGTCTCATGCATTCCGCGCAAACCAGTAACATCGTTCCCCTTATCCTTCCCTCTTCTCCATTGAGGGCACTGTCGAACTTAAGTGTGGGGAGGATATTTATATTTGACTGCTTAGATCTGTTTGTGTGCTTGGAGCCTAGTCCACTATCCAAATTTTGATTTCAGGGCTCCAAGTACGTGTTCCATGCAAATTGCCTGCTCAGTATGCTTTGAATTGACAGTCTCTATAGTAATGTGCAACCTAGGGAGGTAGTGTAGCACTATGGAGGATGTTGAAGTATAAGATTTTTCCTATCTAGCTCTTTGCTGTGCCGGTTGATTTTGTGAATTAGTGGAGTTAAGACCGTTAAATTCATGTGGTATTGGTGACTCCTTGTGAATTGTGTTATGGACTCGTGTATAGAACAGGGTGCTCAAGTGCGAAATGATAAGTAGTTGGTCCTCCATGTTGGAATAATTGAAATCTTAAACATGGGGTAAGCCCAACGTGTGTGGCACCGTTCATTGCAAGAAATCGGTTTTTGGAAGAGATTTTAGTGATCCTTAGTGGGGTACTCCTACAAGGTGAAGCTAAGCTGTCTTTAGTACGAGTAAAATTTTCACCCGTTGAACGGTTTGCCTACTCGAGGATGTGTTTTTAAGGGCACGGATAGAGCTTCCGACCCCCCTTAATTTCATTAACCCTCCACCCGAGTTGAGGAAAAGAAGTTAAAAGAAGTACTCGGGCGAGTGCCAGATGTACAAAAATTGCTCTTGCTCGACTAATAAGGGTCGACCGTACAAAAGAATGCTGTTGGAACCTCCGCCAAGTGAATGAAAAAAAAAGAAATGTAAAATGAAAGTGAAAAAATGGGTTCCAACGGTGAAGTGAAGTGAAAGAGAACCCCGGTACAATGAGTCCTTGGTTGTGAATGGTGTGAGTCCCTTGACCCATGAACTGGTTGTCTTACTTCCACTTCTTCTCATGATCCTGGCTTGAGTCTAGTACTCGCATTGAGAGAGATAGGGGACGTCTTAGAAGACCAGTTGACCTCGTAAGCTGCTATATGATCTAGGAAATCCTCTACCGACGATCGGGGTTGTTTGTTGCTATAGAGGTCTGGAGAGCTGCATTGGTTTGAGTTAGGTTTGCTTGGGGACAAGCACATGGTTAAGTGTGGGGGAATTTTATAGACTAATAATTACACATGTTTATACCCCTATTCTTGAACCGTTGGAGAAGAGATTCTCGTTTTTTAAGCCGATTTCACGCTAGGTTATGGTTTATGTCAAATTTCAGGACTTGGCGTTGATGTAAAGGCGAGGAAACGAGTTTCAGGGCAAAAAAGAGGACATTGGAGTGAAGGGCGCTGGAAGAGGAAAATACCCGGCCACGAGTATAAATACCCGGCCGGGTATATTGCTAAGAGAGGCCGGGGAAAGCTGTTTTCGGACGCCAAGAAGCAGGAGGGGTCCCGGTCAGAGAGCAAAAATACCCGATCGGGTGTTCTGGACCACGATCGTGTATTAACCCCTTTGGTGTTGCGCTGCGTTTCGAAACCCCAGCCGGACACTGGAAATACCCGACCGGGTATTATGGCCGGGGATTGCGATCTGCTGGTTCTTAAGGAAAAGAAGACCAACTTTTGAAGGGTTCTGAGTTTTAGAGAGACAAAGCTGATACCTAGAGAGAGAGAGTGATGAACATGATTCTGCAGTGCCCTAGATCGATCTTCATCACCATTGGAGCCCGGCTTGAGCTTGGAGAAGTGCTAATTGATTGCCAGAAGCTGAATCCCATCCTTCACAATATGGTTTCCGCGTCTGAGCTAGATTTCTCTTCTCTCTCTATGGGGTAATTTTCTCATACACCTGGGTATGAAGAACCCTAGATTTTTATGTTAGGTCTGATTGTATGAACCCAAGTACGAATTCAGTGATATGATTATATTCAATTGAGGTTTGATTTCTTGAATGGCATGAATCATGATCAAATTCCTGTTATTTCTTCTTTGACCTAGAAAGAGAGTTTCTGTATAGGTTGATAGAGCACCCTTGATCAAAGGTAGTGAATTGACGACTTTAGTCGAAGAGTCAATTCACTATTCTATACCGGATTTACTTCGGTAGAGGAGGTTTGGTTCGTTAGGGCCTCAATCTGTTTACTCCGGTGGAGGTTAGTAGCCCGCTGGGGACTCAGATTGAGAGGGTCTGGAAACCTTTAGTCGAGACAACAGACTGTTTAAGAACCTCCCGTAGTATAACTATCATTGAACTTAAACTTGTAAATTACAACTTGGCTTAACTGCAGTCTAGGGGGAACCATATCCGGGTGACCTCTCTCAACTTGAACACAACTTTTACTATTTTGCTTGCTAGTTTAACTAAACCTTCACTACACTTGAACCGCTAGATAACAAGAATTTCACGGAGTAGTCGTCACACCTAGGACCCAGGTTGACAATTAGAACTGAACCCGCTATACTACGCATTAGTAGGTGGTTACACTTGGCCACTTTCTAGTGTAACGGAAGAGGCGTGTCTGAGATACTAACATGTTTTTGAAAGTCGGCTAAATCCAATTCTTGATGCCGGAGATGCCGGAGTTGTAGCTGACGTCGATTTTTTTATGTTGGGCACAAAAGTCGGTCGACGACCACCTTTCACCTCGAAATTCATTTGTGATGTGAGCTCTGATCGTCTCCTGCAAAAAAGGTTCGTCGGCCGATCTCGGCAAGGACACTCTTCGACGCTCAAGTTAGTGAGTGGGTAGAATGGAGAGGAATATGACCTCGAAAAGAAAGATGAGGGAATGGAGTTGAGAATGAATTTCTACGCTAATCATGGCGCGAGTTCACGAGTCTAGGCATGAAGATTTTTTGCTTACCTCAATCTGGAGACGAAGTGGTCTTTTATAGAGGCCCCCAGGCAAACATGAAGGGAGTATGTGTCTCATTTAGGAGCTTGGAGGTGTGGTGGAAGGACACGTTGCGGGGGTACGTGGCTAAAGGTCGAGGTGACCTTGAGTGGGTGGAGAGTCCAAGTTAGTCGAAGTCACCCGCGGTAGTTGACCACGGGGGTGACCCGAGGTGGCCGAGGTGACCTGAGGTAATTGACCCCAGGTGGCTGGAGTGACCCCGGGGTGGGGTAGGTGACCCTAGGTAATTGACCCCAGGTGGCTAGAGTGACCCCGGGGTGGGGTAAGTGACCCGAGGTAATTGACCCCGGGGTGGCCGGAGTGACCCCAAGGTGACCCAGGGTGATTGACCCTGGGTGGCCGAATTGATCCCGGGGTGGGCTAGGTGACCCAAGGTATTTGACCACGGGGTGGCCAGAGTGACCCCAAGGTGAATGACCCCGCGTGGCCGGAGTGACCACTGGGTGGGCCAGGTGACCCAAAGTATTTGACCCCAGGGTGGCCGGTGTGACCCCAAGGTGTCCCAAGGTGATTGACCTTGGTGTGGGCTAGGTGACCCAAGGTATTTGACCCCGGGGTGGCCTGAGTGACCCCAAGGTGACCCAAGGTGAGTGACCCCGAGTGGCTGGAGTGACCCTGGGTGGGGTAGGTGACCCGAGGTAATTGAGCCCGGGGTGGCCGGAGTGACCCCAAGGTGACCCAGGGTGATTGACCTAGAGTGGCCGGAGTGACCCTAAGGTGACCAAAGTATTTGACCCTGAGTGGACGGAGTGACCCCAGCGTGGGCTAGGTGATCCAAGGTATTTGACCTCGGGGTGGTCGGAGTGACTCCAAGGTGAACCAAGGTATTTGACCTCGGGGTGGGCAGAGTGACCCCAAGGTGATTGACCCCGGTTGGCTGGAGTGACCCCAAGGTAACCCAAGGTATTTGACCCTAGGTGGCCGGAGTGAACCCGGGGGTGGGGTTGTTTCCGTCCAATAAAATAAAATTTTCTTAGGGTCCACCACGAGGAAAAAATTGTTTTTTACCTTAAAACATAAAATCCAACAACATGCATGAATAATTTTGACTCTCTATATCTTAGTAAATAGCAAAGATACAAAGTCAAAAAAATTCCAACTCGCACCATAATGTCATATGGAGACACAATCACACATATTCTCTAGTGAAATGTGGTTGTCAGTGAACGAGGGGCCGAGATTCTCAAAATTAAGGTTGAGATTTGAGTTTTGTTGGGAGAGTTGGGAGAGTGATCGAGTGAGATACTAACATGTTTTAGGAAGTCGGCTAGATCCACGATTTGGTCCGGTAAACTACGATCTGGACCAGACCAAACCAAGAGATCAAAAGTTCATATAATACAGATCATGGACCAGACCAGACTATTTTTCATGATTTACGGACCGGACCAAACTGTGCGATCTGATTTAATCCACGATTTTTCAAACGGTCTTGCTCTATTTTTCCAGTCCAAATGGCCGCAATAATCCAATAGTTTTTATTCCCTAAAAAAGGAGGGAAAAAAAGAGGATTGAAAATCCTATTGAACACGTGGCCTGAAATAGAAAAGTAGCAGTATATTCATTTTGGCGCCCCAAAAAACCACGCGTCTCTCTCTCTCTTCGCCGTGTCTGACTCTCTTCTCCGCCCAACCCAACTTGCTAATTTAAAAAAACACGAAAAAAATACAATTGAAAGATGCCCTGCGATCCGGATACGACCAGTCTCCCATCCCCACCATCGTCCATACCAACTCTCCATCATCTTCATCCTCTATATATAAAGTAAGTACCACAACATTACCAATCTCAAAAACCCAAAACCACTTGCTCTTAATTCCGCCACCTCCCAGATCTATAAAAAAAAACCCCTCCTCCGGCAAACACATCCTTCCGATGTCGACGACCAGCGCTCCTCCCCAGCCGCCGCCGCTGCGGTCCCTCCCCGGGTCCTACGGGTGGCCGGTGGTGGGTCCCGTTTGGGACAAGCTGAACTACTTCTGGTTCCAGGGCCCCGTCGAGTTCTACAAGAAGGGGATCGAGAAGAACAAGTCGACGGTGTTCCGCACCAACGTCCCGCCGAGCTTCCCGCTGTTCGTGAGCGTGAACCCCAAGGTGGTGGCGCTGCTGGACACGACGTCGTACTCACACATGTTCGACCCGGAGATCGCCGACAAGAGGGACACACTGCTCGGGGATTTTATGCCTAGTTTGGGATACACCGGCGGCCAGAGGACTGTTCCTTATCTCGATACGGAGGAGACCAAACACACTCAGGTGAGAAGAACTCTGATTTTTATTTTCTCCGCGTTGTTTTGGATTTTAGTGCTATAGTGGTTTTGGGGTTTTGATTTAAAAAAAAATGGATATAAAAGTGGCAATAATTTAATTAGACTTTTGGGGGGCAACTTTTGCTAGTCTACGAAAAGGTTATTTTCTATGATGTGATCAATAATGTAATTTAGCCGCCAGATATTATATTCAAATCAAAGGTCTGATCTGATCCCAGAAAATAAAAATAAAAAACAGTAATGTAAAGTAAAGGCAGACACCTAAGACATTAGAGAAATCTCAGACATTAATAGTGTATAATCTTATCTATAATCTAACACATTAGAGAAATCTCATGTCGACAAAAAATGAGAAATCGATGTATATGAATATATGATTTCCAAGTAAGAAATCGCTTTTTTGGTGAAGTGAACTTTTTTTTTGGTAATAACTTTAAAAGCAAAACATGCTTATTGTGAAGTATTGTAATGATGGATGATCTATCGGAAAGTCATTTTAATATCCCATAAAAAAAAATGTGTTGATCTAAATTCAAAGCGGACAATTTATTAATTGAAAAATGCTTCACCATGTTACATATAGTAGTTGCATTATAAAATTACATGTACACAATTATATATTTTTATGTTTATATAGTAGTTGCATTATAAAATTATAATGGGAGAATGTGGAAAGGAAAAATAATTTTAAAACTCTCAAATTTCTAAGAGTTCATTTGGCCAGAGGGATTTCAATCATAGATTTAGCAAAAAGTTATGTTCTTTTTTCCTTTTTGTATCGTTGATTTTAGCTTTGAAAATTTGAAACGTCTGTAATATAAATATATCAATTCTCTTATAATTAGATAGATTCTATATCTTGATTTTTTTAGATCTCTTTCTAATTTTTCCTTTTTTTAATCCCACTAAATACTCTTGTCAATAAATTCTCAAAATGTTTCGAGTCACTAGCTATGACCCTCTTAGTTACCCTAAACATGTCATTTGATACAAAAATAAAATTTCTATTTCTATTGATTGTTTAATCATAGTTACCAAACAATAATAATTTTTTTTAAACAAAAAGTTAATATCTTTATACATTTTACAATTTAGAGATTCAGCCTTTCATTCTCCAAATGAAACCCAAACTAAACTAAAAGAATGTTTTTTTTTTTTTTCATATGGGAGCGGTTTTTTCTTTTTCTAACTAGCGGATGATGGAGTAGATGCGGACCATTTCTATCATGTGGCTCGGGAAAAGCCAAACACAACTCGCTAGCTACATGCACACAGCTGTATATGAGACAGTGGTTCGGAATTCATCCATGTTTTTTGTGCGAGATTTCATTCTTTTTTAGGTCAAATACACTTGGGTAGCCAAAACTTTGATTGTTTTGTCAAACATAGCCACTTTTGGCGAAATACCAAAAATAGCCACTTCCGTCCAATTGTTTGACGGTGTTAATTAACGTGCTGACTGACTAACTGCATCAGTTGACGTGACATATTTTATTCAAAAATATTATTAGGTGAAAAATAATTAACATTTTATCCTTTTGTTTTAATCAAATTAAACAAAAATAACAAATCTCTTCTCTCCACCACTGCCTGTTCACTTCCCCTTCATCAATACTTCCCTGAAGCTCCCAGAAACTTCCTCTTCTGCAATCACCACCACCGCCTTAATCTCCTTCCAAATGCTGGCGTTTCCTTCCTTGACGCCGAGATAAGCCTTCCTCGAGCTTAATAGAGTTACCTGACTCGTCGAGGCGGCTCCTCCTCTCACCTCCTCCGCCGCCGCCTCATAGAAGCCTGACGAGCCTCCTCTGTTTCCGCCGCTCGAGCAGCCCTTCTTGCGATGGAGATTTGTGGTGGATATGAGTGGCCGGCGACTTGAGGGAGTTGGAGAGGGATGGAATTGAAAGAAGAAAGAATGATTAGATGGCATTTTGGGTAGGCGGTGAATGTTTTGATTACGAGGGGCTCGGTGGAGGTGGAGATTGTGCGACTGAGGGGGCGGAGGAGGCGATTGGTCGAGTGAAATAGAGAAGAAGGATCAGCCGCCGCCTCTCTTCGTCTCTCGATCTCGCCGCCACCATATTGGAAGCAGTCGTCATTAGTCATAGCCAGATCTGAGATGGAACCCTATTTCTCCAACTGGAGCGATTGAAGAAATGGGCTGGAGGGGTTTGTGAAGAAGATCGATGATGGTTGGTTTGTGAAGAGGGAGAAGGCAACACATCAAAGTCGCCTACCAAAAATGGAAGCGACTGACATCTCCCAATCGCATCCATGGCCATCACCATTCACTGGGTCATATCGGCGGCGCCGATTGCGCAGCCGATAGCAATGACTTCCATCTTTGGTGTCGCTGGGAAACGGCGGGTGAAAAAGAGGGTTGCGGCCGATGTAGATCTAGTGGATGAGGAATAGTTCCTATCGACGACAGCGGCGCGGGGGAGGCGGTGAGAGATGAATGGGGGAATTGAATCTGGTTTTGTGGATTGATGATTTTTGTTTGCAGTTTCATGGAGGGTTGCAGATTCATGATTGGGCGTTAATCATGGTGGGTTTGAATGAAGGAGTTTTGGTTGACGGCGGGGGAAACAAGGATGGAGGACGGTGAGGGGAAGCGGGGCAATTCTTTGGATTTTTTTTTTTTATAAATGATTTTTTTGTTAATGAACTATATAAATATTTTAAAATAAAATCTGACGTGTCACGTATATGTGGCAAGTATTGGTGAGTTGTCAATGATGTGTTAGATGAGTTGGCAGGCAGATCATCGTTCCGTTAATTTGACTAATGGTGTCACTAACGCCGTCAAACTATGTAACGGAAATGGCTATTATTGTCATCAAACTTTCAAATTTCTGGCTATTATTGGTATTTCCAAAAATGGCTATATTTGACAAAATCGTCAAAGTTTTGGCTATACAAATGTATTTGGCCTTCTTTTTAATCTCCAAATATGTCTCTACCATTTAGAAAATGTTGAATTGAAATCCACTTTTAAAATTAATATCTTCGGGATATTTATAATTCGATCAGGTCGGGGTAACTATACTTTGTACGAAAATCTAATCAAACACTAACAAAACAAAATTCATTAGAGACGCGCACAATGGAATTTTTTGTTGTATAGGACGAAATGAAGTAAGGGAGAAACATTGAACTTGTTACATCATTAAGTTAATTAATATTAACTAGTAATTACATCTAGGAAATAGAATTACTCCGCTCCAGAACGAACCAGCTTCAAAGCCTTTTGAGACCTTCTAATGACTCATTTGTTGGATGGATCATGGATGTTTCCCTTAAAAATTAAAAATTGCAATTTGCAGATCAAAAGGTTCGGGCTGGACATCCTGAAGCGGGGCTCCAAGCTGTGGGTGTCGGAGCTTCAGGTCAACCTTGAAGAAATGTGGACGGCGGTGGAAGCCGAGGTGTCGGCCAAAGGCAGCTCCAGCTTCGCGAGCCCAATGAAGCAGAGCATGTTCAAGTTCATCAACAAGGTTTGCCTGGGAGCCGAGGTTTCCAAGTCGCCGGAGATCGCCAAGTCCGGGATGTCGTTCATCGACCGTTGGTTCTTCCTCATGGTCTTTCCGACCATCAACATCAACGTCGTCCAGCCGCTCGAGGAGATCTTCCTCCACTCTTTTGCTTACCCTCCTTTCCTCGTCCGCGGCGGATACAACAAGCTTATTGATTTCATCAAGACTGAAGGTACGTACTTTTTTTTTCTGAACGTGCTTTGTGGGGGCAATTCGGTCATAAGCTGGATATTCATGTTATTAATTATATTAATTAACATTTTCTCTGTCACGTCAATTCCAGGACGCGAAACGGTCCAACGTGGCATGACCGAGTACGGTCTAACCGAGGAAGAAACGGTCCACAACCTGTTCTTCATGTTCTACTTCAACTGCCTGGAGGGATTCAACCTCTTGCTCCCCGACATACTGGGCCGCTTGTTCACCGACAAGACCGGCCTGCAAGACAGGCTCCGGGCCGAAGCCAGGCAGAACGGTGGGCCGGACCTGACTTTCGAAGCCGTGAAGCAGATGCCCAACATACGATCCCTGGTCTGGGAGACACTCCGGTTCAAGCCGCCGGTCCCGACCCAGTACTCCCGGGCCAGGAAGGACTTCCGGCTCAGCTCGCACGACGCGTCGTACGAGATCAAGAAGGGGGAGCTGCTGTGCGGGTACCTGCCCTTGGTGATGCGCGACCCGGTCATCTTCAACGACCCGGATACGTTCCAACCGGACCGGTTCGTGGGCGAGAAGGGGACCGATCTGTTGAAGTACTTGTACTGGTCGAACGGACCGGAGACGGCGGATCCCACAGCGACCAACAAGCAGTGCATGGGGAAGGACTACGTGACGCTCTCCGCGTCGATGCTCGTGGCCTACATATTGCGACGCTATGATTCGATCAAAGGGGACAGCTCGAAGATCACGGCCGTCGAGATGGCTAAGTGATGGGGTTTGACGTGGACGGTTGCGATTGTAAGTTGAAATTTTTGTTGTTGTGTTATTTGGGTATTTTGTGGGTAATAATGGATGGAAGGCCAGATATGTGGATTTAGGAAGTGATCGAGTGGATGGAGCTGGTTCTACTGTCGAATTGATGAGGGGGCGATATGTGTTGTAACTTATAACTGTGTGGCAGTGTGCCGTGTTTTCTTTTGGATGGTATATATTTGTGAATTTTTTTTGACACGTCGTCTTCATTATATTTGCTATTGATGTCGATTATCAACCATCGGTGAAAATGCTTAGTTCGAGTTTTTACTTAGTTTGAACTCGGGTTAATACCCTAGTTTGGCTCGAAATTTAGGGTGAGTGACAGTTCTGGTTCCATTTTTCAAATAAGACATTTACGGTCTACTTTTAAAATTATTAGACAAATTTTGGCTTGAAACTTGTGTTGATCGTTAATATTAATGGTCAAACACTTATTCTGTTAGTGACTCAGAAAAAACGGTTGTTGTGGCTTATGTATGGTGCCACGTCACTACGTAATAATATTTTTTAATTTTGTAAATTAAATTAATAATAATAATAATAACAAATTAAAGAATGGATCTTATCGCAGCTCCACTTCCTCCTCTTTGTTTTGGCCCACGCATCTCCAATTTCCATTTCTAGTCCCTGCCTACTAGCACCCGGACGCTAAAATGTGCTCCTCCAAAAACATAATTGGAGCTCCTGACGATCGATCCTCTCCTGCCATCCCGACGGCCGCTCCGATCCACAACGTCACCATTCATGACCGGCAACGCTGGCATCGTCCACGAATTTACTGTCCCAGAGGTACGACTGTTGTGTTTCCACCCTTCATCTTGCAATTGGGATGGAAGTTCTACAACATCCTTTTGCTTTTACCCTTTGCTTTATGATATTTGTTGGGTTGAACTTTTTTTGCAGGATCCAGATCTGGCGGTGACGCACGATTCCCCCGACGAGCTTCCTTCTCGAGATTTCCTCTCTAAAATGAATCGACGCGGTCTCCGAACAAGCCCGTGACATCGACTGCATCTGATCCGCCATGGCCAGTACTGGTTCTTGCTCCGGTTGCTTCGCAGATGGAGATGAAGAAGGGTGGTTCAGACTTCAGAGTCTCTTTGTTCTCAGTCTGGCTGGTGGTTCAGAGCTCCGATTCTACAATGGCGGCGGTGGATCCTTCAGACTTCAGAGTCTCTTCATTTTTCGGCAACGGGGTGGTTCAGCCTTCGATTGCTTACGCTGGAGGAGAAGAAGGGGATCCAGTGGGAAGGAGGCGGCGGGAGGAAGAGATGAGGGTCGGTAGTTTGGGGTTTGGGGAATTGGGATTTTTTTTTATTATTTTTTTATTATTAACTGAATTACAAAATTAGAAAATATTATTATTTAGTGATGTGGCACCATATGTTAGCCACATCAACCATTTTTTGCTTAGTCACTAACGGAATAAATGTTTGACCGTTAATATTAACGGTCAACACAAGTTTCGGGTCAAATCTGTCTAATAATTTCAAAAGTAGGCAGTAAATGTGTTATTTGAAAAATGGGGCCAGAACTATCACTCACATTAAACTTCGTGCCAAACTAGAGTATTAACCCTTTGAGCTCGACTCGTTTATAAATTTTAGATCATTTAACTCAAGCTCGATTTGAATAAAAATAATGTAAGCTCGATAAATGCTCATTAACACAACTTGTCAATCTATGTACTAGCTAGGCTCAAAATGAGCTCGATTTGAAATAATTGTTGCTGAAATATGTGTTAACAAAATAATTTAAATAATAAAAACACCAAAACTTTCATACACATCCGTATTAAGAAGATAATGTTCATGTTCAAAAGAGATTAATCATTCCACGAGCTCTACACAAGTCAGCTCGCGAGTTTAGCTCAACAAGCCACCGAGTTAACCTAGCTCATGAGCTTATCAAGCTGAGCATGGTCTAGCTCAAACTTTGTTCGTTTACTAACGAATTGGTTCACGAGTCAACTTGTTAAATAAAAAATCGAGTATGAAACGAGTTTTTTCTGATCGAACGTCGAGTTGCCTGCGAGCAAATTGACTCAGCCCTAGTAAAGAGGAAGCCCTATTAAGACGATAACGAACAAATGAAAACAAAGTAAAGAAAAAAAGAACCATGCGGCAATGAAACTTCTTCAAGCAAAGCTTTACGCAAGTCATGAGCCACCATGAAGGCGAGTACTATCTCCAGCCTCATGTAAACCCCTCCACGATGAAATATTTCACTTATTAACAAGGAAATCATAAATAATATGCATTTGACGATTAATTGATCATATGTTGTATTGGAACTGGCATCCACATCCACATTTTCCTGACTCGAGAAGCTTCAGGTCAGAAGAAGGCAAGCTGTGGTTCAGTGCCTCGAGCTCGGAAATGGGCGCAGGCTACCCAATTCACACAAGGATTTCAAGGCGTCAAAGAATACATATTATAGAAGCACATAATTATCAGAATAATATTCTAATATAACGTTTCCAAGTGGGAATGTGTTCAACAAGACAGCTGCTCAATACAAATCTCAGGGACTTTCAAAATTCTTGCTTCAAAAGGCCTCCCTAAAAAGAACCGAGGTGTATCTACAAATTATCACTATCAAAACCAGGAGTAGTGGTATTATAATCAGAAGTGAACAGCACCAGTATCCGATGACAGCAATGGCTCCTTACGCAGATTGGACGCTGCTTCCCTTAGTCTTGGTGGCAGCTCCTTCTTTCCATCCCTTCTGGCGCGCTCTTGTCTCCCACAACGATGTCAGTTTCTTCTGTGCTACTAATGAGGCCTCAGCTTTTTCCCTCGCTTCTTCGCATGTTTCCATCCCTGAATTGCACTTGTCCGCTTCCTTTTGGTACTGGGATGATATCTTCTTAGCCTCCAGCAGGGCCATATCAGCGCGCTGCTGACTCTCCAATGCTTCAGTCTCCCGCAGCTTTAGTTCCTCCGTCAGCAGCTCAGAGAAGTTCTTCTCGGCGTCTTCGCTCACCTCTGGATCATGCTTCACACAATCTACAACACAAAATCCAATACATCCATTTATATGGATTAATTCTTGATGCCATACGGATTTGGTGATTCTACTACATACCAACACGAGTAGAGCAGATGGTAGCCTCTGACGCTAGAAAAGATTTTGATGAATCTCAAGAAGAAGGAAACAACAACACAAATAAAGAAAGCAAATGGGGAAAGCCAGTTCCTTTTTTTGTTAAACCCAAGGATTGCAGATTTGCGAATACACCACCAAGAACCGGAATACTAATCATTTGCAAAGAAACTAGTCATTAAGGAAAGAAAGTGGTCAAAGAAAGAGAATAGAGTACATGAATAGATGACCTTTCTGTCAGGGGATGGGAAAATGAAGATACTATGAGATGACACAATGAGGAAAAGAAAGAACTTGAAGACAAGAGCTCTTCTCAAAATAACTTGGGAATGAAAGTGGAAGGAAGGGCAGATATCGAGCATATTGTAGGTATGACTTTATTCGTGAATGCTGAGTAAACTAGGTTGCATTAAATTGCTCGGGAAATCCAAAGAATGCCATTCACTAATCCCACATAAGATCAACCTTTCTTCCATTTCTATCCGTTCATGCCCATATGGAAACCGACTAACTTTGATCACCAGAGAGTAATATGAACTCAAGTTGATAATAGAGGATGAAACTAACCTGCAAACGTGGCATTGCTCAATTCTGCATCAGGAGAAGAAAGCGAAAAAAACAGCAAGTTTATGTCAGTTTGATATTCAACCACTGGACAAAGAAGAATAAGCTAACCGAGGCTACCATTCAATGAAATCACAGCAGCGACCACATATATAAGCAATTCATTATCAGTTATGAAATAACTACAGGGATCAATCAAATTTAGCAGGGATGGGTGAAGCAGAGATCCTGAATTGACTTCCATTATTACACGGACACAAGTCACAAAAGCAGAGCGTCGACACAAAAGCAGAGAAAGAAAAAAAAAAAGATCACACACAGGAACCGTCATCAAAAACTTCAGCAAACACTAGAATTGCCAATCCCAAATCGTCCAAGATCTAAAATTTCACAATCCCCCATATATACCTAGTGGAGAACCCCACAGGAATGCCTACACATATAAGATTCAATGCTCAATTCTGAAAAAAATTGCAGACCCAGATCCACAAACTGGAAAAGTAAAAGAACTTGAAACGCAGGTAATTTAGATTCGAGGGAACTGACCCACCTTGAGGGATGGCGAGAAGAGGCTGAGAGGAGCAATCGCAGAGGCAAGGAGGGCAAGTGGACGACGAAGAAGAAGAATGACTGACAGCAGCTAAACCTTCCTTGAAGTGCCAGTATAAAGGGGGACCCAGTAAGTAACCGGCCAAGCACAATCCCATTAGCCCCAGAGCCAGCTTCACAACCGCCGCCTGATTCGCCGCCATGATATTGCAGGGAACCTTTCACTCTTTCTTTTCGCGCTCCAGGGCTCCCCACTCTATCAGATCGCGGAGAAGGGCTAGATTCAGCAAAGTAAGTAATGCGGATTGTTGAGCGGAATGGGATCGACGCGTCGGAATAAGAAATAAATCGATGGTGTTAGAGAAAGTAGAGCAGATTTGAGGAATTGGACTGGACGAATAGTGGACTTGTGCGGGTTTGCCCCGTCTGTCTGTCGGTGGTTTCACTTCGGCCTTATTTCAACTGCAATTCTCAATTTTCTCCCCACGCATATGATGAATTGTGAAATGGTCAAAGTTCTTAACACACGTAGGCATAACTTTCACAATTGTGATAAATATAGTTATAATTATTTGAAAACATAAAGTAGCCCAAAAAATTAAGGGTAGTGTGACAAATCCAGCCAAATCTGTTAGAAACTTTAACACCGTTTGTCTCCGTTAAATCCAGTGTTATTAAAGCCGAACCAAGCCGGTCGGTTGGACCGGTAAAATCGGCACCTGGCCACCAACTCGGTTCGGAACACTCCAAAAGCCGCAGCGGTCAGAAAGGTCGGTTGGTGAGCGGCCAAAGTGGTTAACCGCTCGGGCCGGTCGAACTAATCGAACGATTTTAAGCACGCAGGCTGCATTTGAAAAAATCAGTCCTTACCTTTTCGATCAGACACTAGCTGTTGGGTGGAGCTACCTAAAAATTAAATTTATACCGTCTCAATGAGGTTGCTTCCCTATTTCCCAGGCACTTTTAACCCTTTTATACTTTTCTTTTTCCATTTCCCCAAGACAAAGACACGGTTTCCCTATTCCCCTAGCCTTTTAAATTTTAATTTGATTTCCCATGCACATTACACAAGCGGTTGCTTACTTGCTTAGGTATTAGCATGTTTTTTTAATTTTTTATATATTCCAGCTATTCAAATGAACATTTGTTAAAACATTTATACACACAAGATTTATAATACTAGATGGGTTAAGCATTTATATACACGTAGATGTGTTTTTTTTAACATATATACACGTGGACGTGTTATTATGTGTGTTTCTAAGTCATCGTCTCTGCCTAAGGAAAACAAGATTATACCTTTCAGTCTCACACCTTCACATTCACAACTCCTTGATTCCATAACTCAAATACTTTATATTATACCTAAACTCCAGTTCCATGATTAAGGGGGCAAGTTCGAGCATCGAACCACATTTAGAGCAATGACCTATTCTAGTTCTTTTACCAGTGTTTGCCCCATTTTGATCTGTAGCAGGCTCAACTCTTGTATGATCTCACGTAGAGCTTCAACCAGACCCTTATCAAAATACACAAAACAATTAAGTCAGAAAATACAAACTTGTAAACGAGTAACATAGATGCTGAAATTCAAGTTATAAAACAAGTAGATGGGAATTTACCTTCTGTTGATCAGAGATAACACTCCAACCCCTTTCATCTAGCATATGTAACTCTTGAGTCAATATGTTTATGAACCACCTCCACAAATCTGCATTCTCACTCTCAACAATAGGATGGATACATCTGGTTGTTTCCATCCTTCCCTACTGCCGTGAGTAGCATCCCCTTCACCTCTCCCTTTAAGAAGCAGGCGTCCAAGCCAAACATTGGTCGATATGGAGATGAGGAGCGTTGAAGATAAGCAGACGGGTTCGGAGGTTGAACATGATTGACGACGAGGTTGAAGGGTGAAGAACAAATGGTTGCTAGCTTAATCCACCGGACTTTGCATTATTAGGGATGACAATCAAACCCATGATCGCGGGTATGGGTAGAACCCGCAAAATTTTTGATGCGTATGGGGCGGGTAGGGTTTAAGCACCCCCTCCCCCCCCCCCCCCCCCCCCCCCCCCCCCCCCCGCGCTCCATACCCATACCCCCGTCAAGAACATTTCTTCACATATATAAACTACATGGATTAAATTATAATCTGTCAATGATAATGAAAGTAACTTAAGAAAATAAATAGAAAAACAATTGAGTGCCATCCAAATCAAAACCTTATTTCTTTCTTTCGATTTCCCCTTCATTCTTTCACTTTTTCCTCTTGTTAGCAAGATAATTATGTTAGTTAATTATTACTTAGTAGATGTATAAGAGTTAAAGAATAATAATTTGGAAAATATTGTACTCTATCTTATGGATTATTAGATGTTTTAGGATCATATAATTTGAACTGTATTAAGAATGATTGTATATTTGTTGACTTCATGATATAGTAGGTTTGTTTAGTGCTATAATGAAAGAATTATATGTAAAATCTTAGGTATAATAATGTTCGATATACAGGGCGGGTATTATCCATGGGTACCTGAAACCCACGGGTGCGGGGATGAGTTTGCAAAACCTTCCCTCGCATGGGTATGGGGCGAGTATGAGTTTGGATATTTAAATATGGGGATAGGGATGGTTTAGCCAAACCCGCCCCATTTCCGTCCATATTCATGATCGCGGAGAAGAAGACGAATAAGAATAATGAATGGATTTGAGAGCAACGTCGGTAAGTTTGGAAGATAGGGAAGCTGTGGGTTACATGGAGGTGAAGCGACGGCGATGTCGGGAGTGTTTTTATTTTTTTATTTGGATTTTGTAGTTATTTTTAGTGATGCAAGCCTCAAAGGTGCCCCAAAATCAATCATATTATTAGAATTATTAAACCACAAGTAATGAAAAATTACCATAAATCGAAGTTACTGTTCCTTAAGAAAAAATCGGAGGTACTATTCACTTGGGGATTTGGGTTTCCTACGGCCAGTTTTGACTGAGCGCGAGTTCACTAACTTTGGGCTGGTTAAGTTAAGCCTTTGATCAATAATTATTATTATTATTATTATTATTATTATTAAATTAAACCACAAGTAATGAAAAATTACCATAAATCGAAGTTACTGTTCCTTAAGAAAAAATCGGAGGTACTGTTCACTTGGGGATTTGGGTTTCCTACGGCCAGTTTTGACTGAGCGCGAGTTCACTAACTTTGGGCTGGTTAAGTTAAGCCTTTGATCAATAATTATGTTAGCTAATCTCATTTGGATTCTTATCCCTAAATCAAATGTCTGTCTTCTCGCTCCTATTGAACTCTGTTTCTTTTTTTGGGCCGTTCATTCCTGATTCCTCTCTCCTTTTTTTCCGTCCTTTCTCTCTGCGTTCCGATTCTTGCGACCATCCATTTTCTTCTTCTCCTATTTCTTTTCCATGGAATCGAAACAAAGTAAAGGAAAGGGTTGTCGTGGAAGATGGAACTGGAAGGGGAAGAGCCTGCTTTGCCGCCGATCTATATTCCTGACCTCTGTGAAGTTGGAAATCTCAACTCCTCAAGAGTTGGTTCGAGTTCGCTTCTTCAGATCTTATAGCTAAATCGTAAGGGAAGGGGAACCAAGGATCAGTTGATGATCGTCCCAGTCATCGTCTCTCTTTCTTCCTGGCGTTTCTTTTTCCCCTAGATGCGCACTCTTCTTAAGCAACTATGGAGGAGGAAGAGAGAAGGGGATCTTGAATCCTTCACGAGCGTAATGGATAGGGGTGTTCAAATGGTTACCATGGTTATAACCAAACCAAATAACGCTAAATTCCATTAACCATGGAATATAATATCATAACCAAACCGTCCAAACTAATACAACAACCAAATTAACCAAACTAAAGTTTAATCGGTTTGGTTAATTGGTTAACCAGATTAACCAATATAAAAATCACATTATCATTGACGATGAAAATTTTCCGGTTAATGCAACAATTCACAATTTATATAATGAATAAAACATAACAATCAACACGTAGTTATAGTTGACCCTTAACAAAAATACATGCAACTAAGACAATTATCTTACGATCAGTATAGAAGTATTCACCTAACAAAATTTTATGACAATGGTATGGGTTAATGAATTGTTGTGTTTGTGTAAATTAACTTAGTCTCTTACCAATTATCATAGGCTGGAAATGACCTTCCTTTCAAGTTTTCATCCATCATAATGTATGAAATTTATCTAAATTAGGCATTCATATGTTGTGGTCTACACTTTACACATACAAATATACACTATATGAGCAATATTGAGCTTTATATTTTATGAGTCTAAAAGGGATGAATGTTAAGTCTTGAGTGGTTATGCAAAGTATTAAATATGTGTATATAATATATGTTAGATATATGACTAATTACTTAACTGGTTAATTTGGTTTGACTGGTTAGGAGTGTCTGAAACCAAACCAAACCACCTAAACCAAACAAGCTAAAAACTTTAACCAAACCAAACCAATTATCCAAATTAACCAAACCAAATTATCCAAACAGTACCGGTTAAAACGGTTACCACGGTAACCAAACCATTTGAACACCCCTAGTAATGGAGGTTTTTGGGTTTTCATCACTTCTTTAATTTTGATTGGTGGTCTTGCCTGCATTTTTGTTCCGTAAGTACTGTAGGTTTGTTATTGCTTTTTTTTATATCTTCCTTTCATCATCAGCTTTCGATTGGTTGGTATAGATATGGGTGTTCTTTGATCACATGGACTAAACTTTACATATTCGTTACCTTAGAAAAGTTTATTCTGAAGTAGTATAGAGTGATCTAATACGACTAGCTTAGCTTTTGGTTGATGGATCAATGAATTTAGTTGGGTGAATCATGGTGTTAAATAGTAATTATAATCCAATTCACCCTTTCCACCGTCTAACCATACTTATCAGGAGGTTATAAATTCCATGTTTGTTGTATGGAAAGAGAGATATACTTGGGTGAAAAACCAAATGTGTTAGATACTAATACAAGGTTCACAGAGTAGTTTTAAGCCACCCCTAATGCTCAAAGACTTGGTCAGCACTATGTTCTCAACAAACTTGGTGCTTCCAATGTAATGGCATCAGTTTAATGTTATGCTGTGATTTGAGGCGGAAATAATAACATAGAGAATTTGAAATACAAAGAAATTGCATAGATGTTCATTCTTTCATACTCATTGGTTATTTTAAGTTATG